CAATACAGAGATTCATGTCTTTATTTATTTCTATGCAATGCAATGCAATACAATACAATACAATACAATACAATACAATAGCAGAGTTGGAAGGGACCTTGGAGGTCTTCCAGTCCAACCCCCTGCCCAGGCAGAAAACCCTATACCGTTCTAGACAAATGGCTATCCAACATCTTCTTAAAGACTTCCAGTGTTGGGGCATTCACAACTTCTGGAGGCAACTTCTGTTCCACTGATTCATTGTTCTAACTNCCTCCACGAGCCTCTGATGCTCCAGCTGCTCAGTGGAGCGTCGTGCAGGCGCTGTATGCTCTGTGCGTGAAAGCGCCGAAGACTTAAAAGACCGGTAAGGAGTTCAGGCAGGCAGGTGGGCCCTCCGGAACACCTACCGGAACGGTATCCAGTGCTCCGGGCAGGCTCCGGTACACCCATACCGGGGCATACCTCCTCCAACCCACCACTGGTGGTTGCTCAAAGAGGGCTACCTGTACTTCCAAAATAAGGCATTTCCCATTTTAACTTTGGATTTTTAAATGCCCGTGTTTTGTTAGAAAGAAGAATTGTACTTATTTCTTTATACCCAGGTGTGTTTTTATTGTTGGTATTATCTTTAATTCATAATACAGCTACGGGGCACTTATTATGCTAGTTAAGAAATTTGCAGAGATTGAATTTTCTGAAAGAGTGTGGTCAGAAGACAACTCAAATGTCAAGCACACTAATCCGAATAATAGGGAAATTAAACAAATTGAGTTAAAATCCGAGGCACCATTTGATAGCAGCCTAGGGCTCAAGTACTGGGGAACTGAGCATTATTAGAGCTAGATTAATTAAAGATTTGGGCATAGACAAGGGTCAAATCACAAATGTTCCACAGCAGTAGTCTGCTACAAGGCACAAGTTTTTTACTCTTAGTTTGTAGAACATCCTTCTGATAAAAACAAACACACAAAAGAGCTACTTGGACATCTTCAGAAGGTAGACCTTTTGCTCTTTAGAAGATTGTCCTTGTAACGAAGCCCTTTTGTGGCACACCGCTTGTATATAAACAGAGAGCAAACCCCACTACCTTCTAGCACTGATTAAATTACCTAGTTGGGTAATGTAATGTCTGCAAGAAAGTAGCCATGCTCAGAGGGCACCAAGAACTGCACAGTTCAACCCCGACTACAAATAGTTTCTTCTATTAAGCTCCTCTGCATTTGACCATTCTGTAATAATAACAAATTATTATTATACTTTATTCATTAAACATGAAACTCAGTCAACTGAGTTCAAAAATGTATCACAAATACCATTGACTGGTGTTAATGGTTGCTATTATTATTGTTGTTGTTATCGCAACAACAGAATTGTATCACAGCGGCCAGTTGTTTNACCCACCTCGGAAGGACGGAAGGCTTCCAAGATCATCCAAACCTACCATTAGAGGAACAGAGTAAGGAAGATGGTAGCAGGCTGATATAAAACTGATATAAAAAGCAATATTGGAAAAGTTAATTCCAAAGGGAACATAAGTGCAAATTTAATGTATTCTTCCGATTGCAAATCAAACCTTCTTCCCTCCCTCAGAATGAAAAGAAATATAAAAGAAACGTTGACGCTTGTCGTTCATTTGGAATCATCCAGAAAACACTTCAGATTTTTGTTTTAAAAGTAGAGGGTGTGTGTGTGTGTGCGTGTGAGGAAGATTTGCCTTTTTTCCCCCCTTATCCTTTTACTTTTTCTCCTTTTTTTTCTGTAAGCGTTTGAAGCAACACGCAAGACAGAAATAATAAAGCAGAACTGAAAAAATAATGTCATTCGTTTTTATTGCTTTTGAGTTGTCCCAGTGAACTCTGGTGTTGAGGGGCAGAAAAAGCCAGCGATTCTACTGGCAATCTCTCTTTGAATATTACAATGTCCGTGGTAGATAACCCATGGATATCGTAATAACATTATAACCCAATAAAGTTCTTATTTCGAAATGTCAGGCCACTAAGTTTACGATTCAAACTATAACTTTGGTCGGCTCAAGATAGCTGGAGCAGAGATACCTGGCGTTGTGTTGCCAACTTCTCACAAAACCCACTCAACACATTTGCTCAGCTGCTGCCCACCTAGAATTGACATTTAACTTCTACTGGGCTCAATAAATGTTAGTCTTGAGCGAACAGAAAAATAATGCAAGGCTACTGCCCTCCCCTCCCTCATCCCGAGGAGTAATACTTACAAAATATGATGAGATTTGCTTGTGAGGAACCCATATTCAATCAAACAGACTATCAGTCAGACACTTAGGCCATTTCTGACACGTTTGAGAGCTTTTATGCAACGGAATTTCAGTCTAATATATGCCGATTAGTGCAGTGTTTCTCAACCTTAGCAACTTGAAGATGTCTGGACTTCAATTCCCAGAATTCCCCAGCCAGCATTCGCTGGCTGG